CTCAAGCCCCGCCCCCGACGACAGACAACGTCCTGCGGCCCCGCCCCGCCCTCAAGCCCCGCCCCCTGGGCGCAGCTCTCGCGAGACCCGGGGCGCCGGCGGCGCGAGATGTGCGGTGGCTGTGTGGGCACCGAGTACCCGGAGCGGGTGAGGGGGGGGGACCCGGGACGGGCCGGGACCCACCGGGGCCGCTCCCCGGCCCGGTCCCAGCCTCTGCTGCCGCCTTAGGGTACCACCTGCCTGGAGGGCGGCTCCTTCCTCCTGAACTTCGTGGGCTGCGCGCAGTGCGGCCGCCGGGACTTCGTGCTGGTCGCGAACCGGGCCGCGGGCCTGCACGGCGGGGAGGAGATCGTCACCTATGACCGTGCGAGGGGGGGCACCGGGAGGGTGGGGGTGTGACCTGTGGGATCTGGGGGTCTTGAGAGCCGAGGGGGACATTTGGGGCCTGGGGCTTAGGGGGTCGCTGAAGGTTGGGAAGGGGGTGGTCTGGAGGACTGGGAAGGGTCTGGAGCTCGGGGAGGGACCTGGGGGCTCGCGGGGACCTTTGGGGCCTGGGGTTTGGGGAGAGCCCGGGCTCAGAGGAGGGGGGAGGCCTAAGGGAGGGTTAATTTGGGGAGGGAAAATTTCGGGGCCCAGTATTCAGGAGGTCCCTGAGGATGAGAATGGTGGCTTCCCAGGGACGGGGTCTCAAGTTTTGGGAGGGGTTGTCAGGGAGCTGAGGGGCATTAAAGAGGGGTGAGGTGCTTGAGAGGGAATTAGATGCTTTGGGGACAGGGGGTCTGCACTCCAGGAGTGAAGGCAGGCACAGAGGGTGGGGGCTTGTCCCGAGGAATTTGGGGGGGGGGGTATACCCCAGGGACAGTGCCTGCCTCCCCTCACCCCACTGTCCCCCGTCCTGACAGACCTGTGCAAGAACTGCCACCACCTGATCGCGCGCCACGAGTACACCTTCAGCGTGGTGGACGACTACCAGGTGAGCCCTTTTTCCCCACAACCCCCTTCCTGGCTCCTCTGCCTCTGGAATGCCAGACCCAGCCTTTCACGGGCTGATTCCCACCTGCCCTGGGACGGAGCCTTGAAGGATTCGGAGCTGCATCCCTGTGCCTGGGGCTACCTGGAGGCTTCCGGGACTAGGCACTAGTCCGTGCCTCGTGGAGGGAGCTCAGCTCACCTGGCATGGGAATGTGGGTGATGGGAGGAGCCTGTGCCCCCCTATTCCTCATCCCTGTCACATTTTGTATGCAGCAAACTGCTGGAAAAAGGGCTCAGGGGAGCCAGTGGGGCTGGAAACGAGATCCGCCGGCTCCGATTGCAATCGGGGATCGGGTACCAGATCCGGCTCAGGTTTCCCTGTGGGGGAGCAGGGCCGTGGCAGCCCCCCTTTTTCCATCCCCTCCCTTTTCCTCCCCCCAGGAATACACCATGCTGTGCCTGCTCTGCGGCCGTGCCGAGGATTCCATCAGCATCCTGCCCGACGACCCTCGCCAGATGACCCCGCTCTTCTGAACTGGTGTGTACCCTGGGATGAGATCCCTGGAGCCACGATCCCTGGGGACCACAGAGCCCCTTACGTGATTCTCTCCCCCAGACTTCCAGCCTGGATGCAAGGAACGCCCGCCACCGGATGCTCCTGTGTTTCTGGAAGCCCTGTGGCTCTGACCCTGGCTGCAGGGATGGGGTGCAGCACCACAGCCCGAGCCCCCCGTGTGCTGAAGACATAAAGGAGACCCCAAAACAGGGTCTCTGTCACCCCAAAACAGAATCCAAAGGGATTCCCACCCCATCCCTGCCTCAGGAGGCCTCTTGTGTGGGGCAATAAATGTGACACGTGACAGCTCAGTGGTGCAGGTGGGAGTATTTTGGGGCTGGGCTTCACCCCCTGGAGCTGGTGAAGGGTGTTGGGGGCTGATGGGAGGATCAAGGGGGCTTCTCCCATCCCAGGAGCCTATGGAATTCCTCTCTAGTCCTTCCCAGCACTTGAGAGCCCACTGCACTCTCGCAGTGCTCTCCTAAACCCTGCAGAGAAACAACTTGATTATTTTCCCTCCCTGAGGAGCTGGTTTGGGGTCACTTCTGTGTGCCCTCGGGTGTGTAACTCGGCCCTGCCCTGCCGGGAATTTCATATTCCTGAGGCGGGAAGGAGCGGGGTGTGGGAAATCACTGCCCTGGGGTGAGTGAGGTGCTGCTCTTGGCACCCGGCCCCAGCAACAGCCTCGGGGAACTGGGTGCAACCTGCCTGGCTCCCACCTACCCCTGTGCCACCGTTTCCTGGTCTGGCACCTTGGGGCTGCAGCCTCCTTCCTGCTCCCCCAACAGCCCCCAAAACCCACATGGCTGTGGGTATGTTCCCAAGAGCCTCGTGGATCTGGGTATGTTCCCAAAAACCACACGGATCTGGGCGCGCTCCCTCCGGCTCGTTTATTGCCCCCAGCCCGCGCCGCCCCAGCGGCTCCAACCCTCCACCCCCATCGAGCCCCCTCCCCATGGCAGTTTCGGAAGGGGCTGTCACCCTGCGGAGAGTTGGGGCCACCCCAGGGTGACCTCGGAGCTGGGATCACATCGGAGCCGGGACCGTGCCAGAGCCGGGGTTACTTGGCCAGCTTGAGGAGGCGCTGGATGTCGGGCTCCAGCTGGGCCGTGGGCACGCGGGGGCTGTAGCGCCGGAACGGCTCCCCCTCGGGCCCCACCAGGAACTTCTCGAAATTCCAGGAGATGTCGGAGCGCCGCACGGGGCTCCAGGTGACGAAGCGGGGCTCGGCCATCAGGTGTGCAGCCTCGTCGGCTGGCGCGGGCAGGTGAGCCTTGAGGTAGGCGAACACGGGGTGGGTGTCGCTGCCGTTCACCTGGCACTTCTGGAACAGGGTGAAGTTGGGCTCGAAGCCGCCCCCGGGCCGCACGTGCTTCAGGGTGTTGAGGATCTCCTCGTTGGTGCCGTTCTCCTGCGGCGGGGAAGGGGAAATCCGGGAGCTGTGTGTTTCCCTGCCGTCCACACCTCCCCCCCCCGCCGGCCTCGTAGCCCACGAGACTTACCTGGTAGCCAAACTGGTTACAGGGGAAGCCCAGCACGACCAGCCGCCGAGGGTAGCGGGCTTGGAGCTGGTTGAGCTGGGTGTAATCCCGCACCGTGGTGCCTCAGAGCGACGCCACGTTCTCAATCAGGACCACGCGGCCCCGGAAAACGCCGAAATCCACCTTTTCCCCCTGCAGGGAGGTGGCGCTCAGGTCGTAGAAGGACTTGGCGATGGGGATGGTCATGGCTGCGGGCTCGGCTGCCTCCCCCCCGCGCCCGCGCCGCCTCTTAAGGGCTTCCCGGTGCCCACGTCATGGTCCAAAGGTCTGCGGGCCCCGCCGCGGCTTGGGAGAAACCGGAGCTGCCCGTCCCACCCGTGGAAGGAGGAAGGTGGCGCAGGGCCAGGGCGATGCTCCACCTGCCTCAATAATTCATGGCACGGCGCGGTGCGGCTGCTCGTCCCAGTGCCCGCAGGATGCGAGATGCTGCCGGCCTGGCACAGCGTGTTCCCGAGGTTTGGGAATGACAGTGGGAATCAGGGAATAACGGGAGTCTGGGAGCTGGGGCTGTGTGGGCTGGAGGGTGGTGGGGACGGGTACCCCAGCACTTCTTGCCTGGCGCTGCCTTGGCATCGCCTCTGGGGTCTCCTGTGCTGCCATCCCAGTGCCCACCAGTCCCAGGGCCTGCTGGTCCCAGTGCGAGCTCAATCCCTGGGCCCGTCTGCTGTGGTGCCCACCATTGTCCTGGTGCCTGCCCATCCCGGTGCCCGGCAGCATCTCAGTGTCCACCTATATGCTAGTGACCATCATCCCAGGAACCACCCATCCCACTGGTATTGGCCGTGGCACCCCACGGGTGCCATGTCCCATATTCCTGTGCCCAGCCTGGAAAGGGGACACCGTCCCGGCCACCCTGGATCCACCTCAATTATTGATCACCGATCGGGTGTCCGTGCCCAGGCCGTGCCTGCCGCACGCTGCTCCCTGTGCCGGTGCCACCACCACGGCATCGTGCCCACAGCCCCCCACGGAGCACACGGACCACCAGCACCTCCAGCATCACCTTTATTCTGCAAACCGTGTGTGTAAAACTCGGGGGCTCCCACGGGCACGGGGTGGACACCGGGTGGGCACACAGCGCCTGGACACCCCCACCCCACTCTGCACATCGGGGAGGGCACCCCCATGCCTTCTCCCCCCGCCCCGTTCCCTGTGGGGTGTCCCGTGTCCCTCCCCGCCTCCATGGGGACCGCCCCAATCCCGCCCCTATCGTGCCCCCTCCCGGCACAGCCGGGGGCCGGGTCAGGGGGGTCCCAGCCCTCAACACCAGCAGGTCTTGGGGGTGTCCTCGCCCTGCAGAGGTTGCTGCTCCTCCTCCTCCAGCCGGGCCAGGGTGGGGGCGCGGGGGGGTCCCCGCAGCTCCTCCAGCTCCTTGCGGTGCGCCTGCAGCACCAGCTCCGTCAGCCGCGTGAAGGACTGCGGGAGGGGGCGTGTGAGCCCGGGAGAACGCGCCCAGAACCCCTCCAGAACCTCCAGCCCCCCCTCCCAGTCCCCTCGGGACCCCCCGACCCTCCTCCCAGCCCCCCCATACCTCCTTGATGTTGAGGTTGCTGCAGGCACTGGTCTCGTAGAAATCCATCCCGTATTCCCTGGCCAACTGTGGCACCAGGATTTTGGCGGGGAGGGAGCGTGATTTGGTGGGGGGGGATTCAATAACCCCGCTTCCCCCCCGGAACGTGCACAGCCGGGCACGGACAGACGGGTGAGCTGGGGGGGGCTGGCATAGGGGAACCCCCCGGGGCTGGGCATTGGGGGCTTTGGGGGTCCAGAGGTCCTGGGAGGGGTCCCTGGGTGCTTTAGGGGTGCAGGGGACCACGCTGGAGGTGTAAGGAGGGGTTGGGGGTCCCTGGACACCCTGGGGGTGCACTGTGAGGTGGAAAGGGGGTTCCTGGAAGTGTGGGGGGGTCAGCAGTCCCTGGGTACAGACTGCGGGGGAAGGGGGGATGTCCCTGGTCATGCTGGGGAGCACTGGGGATATTTGGGGGTCCCTGGACACAGGTAAGGCTGCGAGAGGGCTGATGGGGTCCATGGAGAATGCAGGGTGGGCTCAGGGAGGGACTGACTAAGCCAGGGGTAGAGAGGGGGGTACTGGATGATTTGGGGGTCTAGAGGTCCCGGGGAGACACTGGGGGGAGTCACTGGGTGCTTTAGGGGTGCAGGGGACCATGCTGGAGGTGCAGGGAGGGGTTGGCGGTCCCTGGACATCCTGGGCAGGGCACAGGGAGATCTAAGATCAACCCTTGGGGTGCACAACTACTGTGGGGGAGCAAGGGGGTTCCTGGATAGTGGGGGGGCTATTTTTGGGGTGCCTGGGTACAGACTGCAAGAGGGTGGGAGATCTCTGGTCATGCAGAGGGGGGAGCTGGGGCTGTTTGGGGTTTCCTGGACACAGGTAAGGCTGCGCGAGGGCTGTTGGGGTCCCTCGGGAGTGCAGGGGGGGGGTCTGACCACCCTGGGGGCGCAGGGGGTGGGGTCCTGCCCCCCCGGGGGGCACAGGCCAGCCCCCGCTCACCTGCAGCCCTTGTTCTTTGGGCACTTGCCTCTTGTGCTCCTCGTCCGCTTTGTTCCCGATAAGGATTTTCTGGACGCCGTCGGGCGCGTACTGCGGGGTGAGGGGGCGGCGTGAGGACCCCCCCCCCACCACGGCGAGGGGACGCCCACCTCCCTCCCATGCACCCCTACCTCATCCACGTCGCTGGCCCATTTCACGATGTGCTGGTAGGAGCGCTCGCTGCTGATGTCATACACCAGGAAGATGCCCTGCGGGAGGGGGGGCCGGCCACTGACACCCCAAATCCGTGCCTCAGTTTCCCCTCTCCTGCACGCCAGGATGGGAACCCCCCCGTACCTGTGCCCGCCGGTAGTACTGCTTGGTGATGGTCTGGTACCGCTCCTGGCCGGCCGTGTCCCTGCCCGGGGACAGCGGGTCAGTGCCACCACCCGCGGCACGAGTTGGGCAGGGCTCAGCCCCCACTCCGGCTGGGGGAGCGGGACTCAGACCCCCCAGAATGCCCCCCCGGCATCCAGTGCCGCCACTCACCAGATCTGTATTCGCACCTTGATCCCGTCCACCTCGATCGTCTTCATCTTGAAGTCGACACCTGGGACGGGGACGGGAGAGGGGACGGGGGTGTCCCGGTGTTCCCCACCGCTGGAGCTGCTGTCACCGGGGGCGCTCCGGTTCCCTCCTGGCCCACCCCAAGCCCCGCCGTGGCCCGGTGCTGGTGCCCACACCCGGTGCCAGGCCTGGCAGGAGGTGCCAGGTAGGTGATCCCGGTGATTCCGGTTCCCCAGTGCTGCGGCTTCCCGGTGCTGTGGCTGCCCACTGCTCCCGGTTCCCGGCTGCATGCTGCTCCCGATTCCCCCGTGCCAGAGATGCCCAGTGTTCCCGGTTCCCCCGTGCCCATGATTTCCTGGCTCCCTGATGCTCCCGGTTCCCCAAAGCCGCGGCTCTCCAGTGCCCCCGGTTTCCCAGTTCCCGGGTACTGCGACTCCCGACGCTCCCGGTTCCCACAGTTTTCCCACTCTCCGGTTCCCCGTTTCCCCGGTGTTGCAGCTCCCCAGTGCCCACGGTTAACCGTATCCCCGTTGCTCACAGTTTCCCGGTGCCCCCGCTTCGCCCGTGCCCGCCACTCCCCGGTTCCCCGGTGCCCACGACTCCCGGGTGCCCTGGTTTCCCGTTTCCCCGATCCTCTGGCTTCTCAGCTCCTCCGTACTCCTCCCTTTCCCGGTGCCCACGGTTTTGCCCCTCCCTGGTTTCCCGGTTCCCAGGTGCTGTGGCTCCCTAATACCCCCCAGTTCCCACGGTTTTCCCGCTCCCCAGTTGCCCGGTTTTCCGTTTCCCCGGTGCTGCAGCCTCCCGGTACTCGCGGTTTCCCGGTGCCCACGGCTCCCTGCTTCCCCAGTGCTGCGGCTCCCCAGTTTCGCGGTGCTCCCTGTTTCCCGGTGCCACGGCTTCCCGGTTCCTCAGTTCCCCGGTTTCCCTTTCCCCCGCTACTGCGGCTCCCACTGCTCCCATTTCCCCGGTGCTGAGCCTTCCCACTGCTCCCGGCTCCCCGATGCTCCCGGTTCCCCGTTTCCCCAGTACTCCCGCTTTCCCGACGCTCCCGGCTCCCCGTTTCCCCGCTCCCGCCGCCGCGCGCTGCCGGTACCGATGGTGGAGATGTGGGCGGGGTGGAACTGGTTGTCGGTGAACCGGCAGAGCAGGCAGGTCTTGCCCACGCCCGAGTCCCCGAGCAGCAGCAGCCGGAACAGCACGTCGTACTGCTTGGCCATGGCGGGCCCGGGCACCGGGGCCGCACCGGAGCTGCGCCGCCGCCGCGCCGGGCCGGGCTGGCACCGGGGGATGCACCGGGGCGGGGCGAGGGCGGCGGCGGCGGGAGGGGGCACCGGGGAGTGGGGGGGGGGAACCGGGGGATGCTGTGGGGAACGGGGAGGGGACACCGGGGATGCGGGGGAGGGAGCACCGGGAGTGCACCGGGGATGCACCGGGTGCGGGGCGGCACCGGGGGATGCTGTTGGAAAACGGGGTGGGGACATGGAAGAAGCACCGGGGGAACGGGCGAGAACACCGGGGAACGCTCCGGAGCACCGGGAGAGGGACACCGGAGTGCACAGAGGAGGGAGAACCCGGGATACGCCGGGCATGCAGCAGGGGATGAACCGAGGGATGCTCCGGGGCACCGTGGGGAATTGTAGGGGAGCTCCGTGAGGGACACGGGGGAAGTGGGACCGATGGGGACACCGAGGGATGCTCTGGAGCGCCGGGAGGGACACACGGGAGGCACCAGGGGATACGTTTGGGATGCTCTGGAAAACAGGAGATGGGAAAAACAGGGAATGTACCAGGGGGACTGGTGGGGACAACGGGGATTCTGAGAACACTGGGGGATGCTCTGGGGGCACTGGGAAGGAGACACAGGGGTGCAGCAGGGGACACTGGGGGGACATGGAGCTGCACCAGGAGAGTGTGTGACACTTTGGAAGGATGGGATGGCATCCAGGGGGGCTGGACAAAGGTGGGCCCATGGGAACCTCGTGGCGGTCAAGGAGGCCAAGGGCAGAGTTGGCACAGGGATTGGGACAACTGCCGGGATCAGTGCGGGATGGGGGTGATGGGGTGGAGAGCAGCCCAGAGGAGAGGGATTTGGGGGTGCTGGGGGATGCAAGGCTGGATATGACCCGGCAGCCCAGAAAGCCAGTGGTGTCCCGGGCTGTGCCACTGGCAGCGAGGGTAGCAGGTAAGGAAGGATTATCCTGCCCTGCCCTGCTCAGGTGACATCCCACCTGGAGCACTGTGCCCAGCTCTGGAGTCCTTGGCATGGGAAGGACATGGAGCTGCTGGAACAGGGCCAGAGGAGGCCATGGAGATGATCCGAGGGCTGGGGACAGGCTGGGAGAGAGCTGGGGGAGTCCAGCCTGGAGAAGGGAAGGCTCCAGGGAGACCTCAGAGCTCCTTGCAGTGCTTAAAGGTGCTCCAGAAGAGCTGGAGAGGTACTTGGGACAAGGGCCTGGAGGGACAGCACAAGGGGGAATGGCTCCATAGTGGAAAAGGGGAAATTTAGACTGGATATTAGGGAGAAATTCTTTACTGTGAGGGTGGTGAGGCACGGGAATTGATTTCCCAGAGAAGCTGTGGCTGCCCCTGGATCCCTGTGAGTGTCCAAGGCCAGGTTGGATGGGGCTTGAAGCAACCTGGCCTGGCGGCAGGTGTCCCTGCCCAAGGCAGGGGGTTGGCACCGGACGAGCTCCCTTCCAGAAACCCAAATCATGGCTTTCGGCGGTGACGTCATGCATGACGTCACACCGCGATGACGCTGCCGCCCTCCCGGCATGCGCGCCGGGGCCGGGCGGGGAAGGGGCGGGGCCAGGTGGGAGGGGCGTATCGGGGGGGCGTGGCCTCTTGTCCCCTCCCGGCCGCCGTCGCCGCTCCCCGCGGGCCGCAATGGCGGGAGCGGCCCCCGGGCCCGGCGGGCGGCGGCGGCTGCGGGACGACGGGCTGCGCACCTGCACCTCCGCCGAGCAGGTGTGCGGGGCTCGGGGGGCCGCTGCGGTGCTCGGCGACGGGGCTCTGGGAGGGCCCAAGAGTGGGGTCGCCGGGCTGCAGCGGGACTGGGGCGCGGGGTCTGCGGTGCCGGCCCTGGGGCTGCCGGGCTGCCGTGGCGCTGGTGTGTGGGGTGCCGGGCTGCCGTGGGACCGGCTGGTCCCTGCCCCAGTTTCCCCACGCCAGGCGCTGGCCGCACACCCACCGCTGTCACAACAGCTCGGTCACCCGGGGGTGGGTTTTGGGGGCTCGGGGGGTGCTGCCACCCACCAGCCTCTGCAGCCCCCGGGGGACATCCACGGGGGCTGTGACACGTCCCCTAGAACTAGTTCGGGGCGGGTGAGAGGTCCTGCAGCGGGGGCAGCCAGACTCCCTCCTCCCGCCCTCTGTCCTGATCCAGCCGCTGGCAGCTCCCCTGGGTGCCGGGACGGGGTAAAAAGTGACTGCTGGTTTCCCAATCCTTGGGATTCCTGCTCAGTTCCATCCTGGCAGGACACAGTGCCATGCATGTGGGTGGGAGGCTGCCCCTCCCAAACCCTGAGGCCGATCCTGGAGTATTTCCTGGAGGATTACCCTGGGTCCTGAGTTGGGGGTGTTGGAGTCCCTGGTTATCCCAGCGTGAATGGGAGGAGCGTGTTTTCCATGGGGGTCCCAGGATGACCAAACTCCAGCTGGATTTGTAAAGCAGCACCAGATCGTGCTGAACTCTGGCATAATTCGTGTCACAAAGCTCCTGGCAGCTCCCACTTTGGTTTTACTGGATGAGACGGGGCCATGAGTCGGATATAAAGCCTTGGGATGGGGTAGAAGCTGGGGGGCTCAGTGGGGATCATTTTGGGATGTGCAGAGCCACTTCCCAGAGCTCACCACAGTCTTTATTCCCTCTTTCCCTGCCAAGTCCAAGGTGGAGGACATCGTGCAGGAGGTCTATGATGCCTACAAGACAAACCATCACTCCTCGCAGTGAGTCCCAGAGTTCCCGATATACATATATATATAAATAATTCCCATCCCCAAAAAAAAGCAACACCTCCGGCTGTGGTGGGATCCTGCCTCTCCTGCCATTGCCCCCCTGCTTTTCCAGGCCACCCTGCCTGCTCATCCCTGTCCTCCCTGTCTCCCAGGTACGTCCTGCAGCGGGAGAAGCATTTCCATTACCTGAAGAGAGGCCTCCGGCAGCTCACCGAAGCCTATGAGGTACCGGGAATGCCGGATATCCCGCCCTGGAGCCGCTGGCTGGGGCGAACCCCTCACCCCGGGGCTGTCACCGGGATCGTCACCAGGGGTTTTCCGGCCCCAGAGTGGACACAGCGTTCCCTGTGTGCTCGTGGGATGCAGTGATGCTCCGGGGGTTCCCTTTCCTGTCCCCTCACTCCTGCCTGCTCGTGCAGCACCCTGTGTCCAGTGCCACTGCCTGACTGTCCCCTCTGTCCCCTCAGTGTCTGGATGCCAGCCGCCCCTGGCTCTGCTACTGGATCCTGCACAGCCTGGAGCTGCTGGATGAGCCCATCCCGGAGTCGGTGGCCTCTGAGTAAGTGGTGGGAGCCAGGGAGGGGACCCCCACCCTGCCATGGCCAGCGTCCCCACGGGCCACCCGCGTGACTCCGGAGGTGCCACCTCCCGCTGTCCCCGGAGCAAAGGAGTGCTTTGTCTCCCTGTCGCCGTCAATGCCGCCCATTCTTCCGGAGGCTCCCTCGTGACGGCAGAGATGGGGGGGTGACACCCCCGGCTCCGGCCTCGGCGGGGGTTCACGGGGCTGGGGGGGGACATATCGCCCTGCCGGGGCGACACAGGTAACAACGAGCCCCTTGCCCACTTTCCTGCAGCGTCTGCCAATTCCTGAGGCGCTGCCAGAGCCCCCAGGGTGGATTTGGAGGGGGTCCCGGGCAGCACCCCCACCTCGCCCCCACCTACGCCGCCGTCAACGCGCTCTGCATCATCGGCACCGAGGAGGCCTTCGGCATCATCGACAGGTCTGGGGGCCGGGGGAGCTGGGGGGGATGTGGGGGGTGTGTCCCCCTTCCCTCACAGCCGCTGGCTCCTGCAGGAAGAAGCTCCTGGAATACCTGTACTCTTTGAAGCAGCCGGATGGCTCCTTCCTCATGCACGTGGGTGGAGAGGTGGATGTCAGGTGGGTGAGGGCTGTTTTGGGGGGCTGGGGCACTTTTGGGGAGCCAGTGCTGGGAGCTGGTGATGATTTTGGGAGCCGGTATCGTTTTGGGGAGCTGGTGCCGTGGCGATGAGCTACGTGACACGTGAGCCGTAGCATGGGGCTGGTGTCAGCAGCTGGTGCTGTTTTGAGGAGCCAGTGTAATTTTGGGGAGCCAGAGCTGCAGCAGGGAGCGGGTGCTGCATCCCTGCGTGCCCTTTTCCCACATCCCTGAGCACCCTTTTCCCGCAGGAGTGCCTACTGTGCCGCCTCAGTGGCCTCACTGACCAACATCCTGACGCCCGCGCTCTTCTCCGGGACGGCCGAGTGGATCGCCAGGTGAGATTTGGGGACAGGAGGAGCACATGGGATGGCATTCCCGGCAGCGGTGCCACCCTGACCCTGCTCCCACAGGTGCCAGAACTGGGAGGGCGGGATCGGCGGCGTGCCGGGCATGGAGGCGCACGGCGGCTACACCTTCTGCGGCATGGCCGCGCTGGTCATCCTCCAGCAGGAGCATCTGCTCAACCTCCGGAGCCTGCTGGTGAGTGATCCCTGCCCGGGGCACGGGGGGTCCCATCCCACTGGCGATCCCTGATCCCACACTGGCTCCGATCATCCCGCAGCACTGGGTGACCGGGCGGCAGATGTGCTTCGAGGGCGGATTCCAGGGCCGCTGCAACAAGCTGGTGGACGGGTGCTACTCCTTTTGGCAAGCCGGGCTCCTGCCCCTCCTTCATCGGGCACTCCATGCCAGGGGTGAGTTGCCATGGGCTTCCTGTGCTCCCCAGAACGGCATCTCCAGGG